TGGCGTGTCACAAAAGTTATTCCTGCACTCAGCTCCTTAGTGGTTTTGGATGGTTTTTATTGTGCCACTACAAAGGACTTTCAAATCTTCTTGGATCTAAATGATGAGGGCCAGCATCCTGTTTGGAACAGAAATGCAATACAAAATTGAATGAATTCTCCTTGTCTGTCTCCCTCTTACTCTTACTAGCATAGTCAAGAACAGCACAGTAACATTGCATGCTACAAACAAAAAGATGTAACCCAAAGATGAAAGTATGCCTGCATGTTGGTTGTAAGAAGACCAGACAGAAGAATACAGTCTCCAAAACAATCCTCTCCTTAATGTAGCGTGGGTATAAGGGTTTCCCTGCCTTTTTTGTAACACTATCAAAGCTTTCCCCAAGAGCCAAAAGCATAACTCAGAAAGAACTGAATCTTCAAAGACGACCACTATCTGCTTCTGCCAGCTTGCTACGTCTCACGGGCGGTCAAGGTTTCTGATTAGCGGTTATCGGGTGCTGGCGTCTCTTGCGTCATTGTGGGCTGTTAGGTGAGCCCTTCTGACTGCTTAGGCATGGCCTAGTGGGGCTAGATTTGCACATGGTCTCTTGCCATCTTAAAGCATGATCTCAAACAGCCATGGCAGATAACAATGGCGGAACATCCAGCCATTCAGTAATTACAGCGGAAACTGCTGTGTCACGTTACAATCTTTGGGTAAGCCTAAACCTGATTTATCAAAGGCTCCAAAACATGCAATTTCTCTTGACCTGTTATCAGAACATTGAAAATGTCTTAATCCATCACCTATCAAGCAACTGTCATTAATCATTTGCAAGAATAAAATAGATTAATTGCAAAATCCAATCTCAACTCTGACAAAATTAATTGCTTGATATCTAACAAAGGATTCCAGCTATGGCACGGAAGGGACGTGACATAACTATTAAAAGGGTAATATTTGTATGGAGCAAACTCCATCCACAGGATTTACAGCGGTAAATCATAGCCAAATATTTATCCACCAAGAAATGCAGACCCACATCAAAATGAAGGTTTAGATGACTTTGCAACTCAAAATCCACAAGCTTTTGATCTGCTTCTAAACACTCTGACTTGGATTCCATTGTAAGAGCAAACAAAAAGCATTGTTTTCTGTGGGAATTGACAGTAGTTTGGTTTGATCCAATAAAAGATGAACTATTTTCCAATAACATTGTGGCAAGCAGGGCGGGGCCAAGAGACGTGGGAGCAAAGTGAGGCCGGTAGCACGAGTGTTAATGAACATCACCTGCGTGCCACACTGGTCTCGAGTCCTACGGAGGAGCTCCAGAAGGATAAACGGAAAAGTGACAACAGTGCAAGACGAGAGAGGACCAGGCCTGGGACTTTATGTTGTTGTTTTGTTTTAGTTTATGCGGCAGTGGTCGGGGGGGGGGGGGATTTTGTGATTAAAGTTTACGTTGATTGTTTGCTGGTTCCCGCCTCCTCCTTCCCTGAACATCGGTACCAATACCCCGGAGGAAGGAGGGATATGCTGTCAGAAAGCCCAACTGAGGGGGATCGCGGTACTGAGGGAGTCTGGCAGCACAAAGTAGCGGTTACCGCCAGTGGCTACCCGAGGTGGTGGTGCTGGAGTGACTTGCCGGGGGGATGGATAAACTCGCTGTCGTCCGCCTGGGTTCTGGAGGGACATCTGCCATCCATGAGGGGATGGAGGAGTTACCCCTGTTCGCCTAAGGCCAGAGCCTGGTGCCTTCCGCTATGCTAGGGAGAAGCAGGCGAGCGAGGGAACGGGGGGCTCGTGGCCAGGAGCCCAAAGCCAGCGAAGCCGTTGCCATCCACCAGGGGATGTAGCAGACAGAGGCCGTCCTCGTCCCACGGAGGACCTCTGGAAGGATAAAAGGAGGAGTGATGACAGTGCAAGATGAGTGGACCAGGCCTAGGACATTATGTTATTATTTCTATTTTCGTTTAGGCGGCAGATGTCCATGAGGCGCTGCTGCTTTACTTTTGTTTTGTTTATATTATTAAAGTTATGTTCATCGTGTGCCGGTTCCTACCTCCATCCCTGAACCTTGAACTTCGTTATATACATCTCTAAGATTCTTCCACAATGTTGTTTTGGAGTCTGTACCACTCAAAACAATGCAGGTCAAACCACTGATTCCCACAATTCCAGCATGGCATTTCTGAGAGGTTTACATTTAGTTGATTCCTTTCAGAAGAACCCATCTGAACTGGCTGCTGTATCAGTCTTAACACCTGTGAAAAGGTACTTCTATGTTCAAATTTTATATTGGGCCCAGTCCAGAATGAGCCAGTTATGAAGGAATGTGATGCCGTGCCAGGCTAGCACGGCTGCTGCTCCTCTGAACAAACAGGAGTTTCGGGCGTGAATGCCATGCCAGTTCATCTGAGACCAAAAAGCTCAGTCTTTTGCCATCAGCGGCCCCATACCTGTCATTGATTTAACTGAATGATTTATTGGAAACCAGAGTTTTTAATCATTCGGAATTACAGGGTTTAGTTTTAATTAAATTGACAAAAACATAATCCTGCCAGTATCTCTGCATGCAGAGGTCATTTTGGTTTCTGCTATTGAAGGTGTCAAAGTCTGAACCAGTCAGAGATGGGTCCAAAATGGTTTCCTTAATGCTTGCAGTAATCTCTCCCGCGGTCTACCTGTGGAAAAATAAGAATAAGCATCAGAAAATGAGTCTGGTCTGCTTGCAATCAACCACACTTAGTGAATGACAGCATTGTGACATTTTAAAAGAAAACCCTAAAAGCATTCAACCCCCTCGCTCTGGGCATGGTTCCAGCTTGTCTTGACAAATCCCCTGTCTTTGAAGCAGTCAGTTTCACACCTGATAGGACCACCTGAGTACATTCTCCAGAGGGTGAAATCAGAGAGGGCCATCGTGTGTACCCTGCCCCAATCCATTCTGCTTTAAAACGTTACCATGAAAACAGAATGCACACATATCAACTCTAACCGAGTCCTGTGGGGTCACATGGGGCACTGAGAAGTCCATTTAAAGAATTATTTTCATATGTGAGTCTTTGACATGTTGCAATGAAATCGTACATTATCCAGTATGTGTTGGACCGCCAAACTTATGGTCTTTGATTTCAAATGTTCATATGAAGATGTATTCCTGGGCAACAGTTGATAATACATATTCCAAAATAAATAAGTAAATATACATAAAAATACTGATCAATTCCTAATTAATGACATATCGTGGAATTTGATTATTATTTTTAAACTTTTAACACAAAATTAATAAAATTAACACAAAAATAAAAAAATTTAACACAAAAGCAAAAGTGTTCATAATTTATGATATTCTAATAATACACACATGATGGTGGTTTTCTAGACATTTACCATTAAACAGTGTCAAGAGCTTGCCTTAGTAGTTTGGTATTGTTTTCTTTGTCTCTAGCACTGCACCCGTACTGTTTCTGTGCAGTATTGCATGGACCGTAAAGTTTACCAACCAACAAAAATACCTGGAACAGAACGCAACTTTTTAAATTGTATTGTTAAGATAGTGTCTGCTTAAAATATATATTTGAATGTAAACATAGCCTACCTTTCAGAGCTAGTTCGGCCACAATCTCTGATCTCACTGCTGGGTTGAAAAGCTTCAGACTCTATGCTGGCACACCCAGATTACGGGCATATTGCCAGTCATTATAGAATAGACATACAGACATGGGCAGTTTGTCTAGGTTAACTACAGTTACCTAATGATGGACTATCAGCTGCCCAGAAGGCCTACACTCTCTGCACTAGCGCCCCCTGGTGGGGAACAAAAACTGTCTGCTAATTATACTTAAAACAAGACGATACATAAAGATTTGGATTTTAATTGTTTTGAGTGAACATACTTAAACCAGTAGACAATATGTAAATATTGAAATATAGGATCAAAACATTATAAGTAGAACATCACGGAAGGATGGTGAAACGTGTGTTGTCAAGTCTGTTCTTCTTTGTGCACACATTGTCAGTTCAGTTATCCAGGTCACAGAAATATAACTCAGTTCCTCATTCACTATTGACAATTAACTCATCAGGTTATAGGAGCTGATAGAGTTCAGTGCCTCCGACTACAGATTCAAAGATGCTGTTGATACTCACATTTCTAATTTAGAAAATTGAAGCAATGTAAAAAAAATGTTTTTAATCAACTACATACCAAACAAATTGTAAGGAATCATAATATATAAGCTAGTATTTACTGCAAATGTCAACAATGAATTGTAAGTAAGAATAACATCTATCCAGCCTCAGAATTACTATGACTAATAATGTAAATATATTAATAAGCTATATCAATGTAACTCACAGCCTTGAGAGGCCTTTATAAAATAATAAAAGCTATAAAAACAGTATTTCAGTAAATTGTTGGATTTATTAACAATTATATTAATAAAAATAATTCTTCCACCAAGTAATATAGTTAATAGGTAACGTGTTTTGATGCATCAATGTAGAATTCAAATGATGTGCAGTCACAGGTGTGTGCATGTTGTATTATGTTACAGGGCTTGACTGATCAGAATTTTAACAATCTGTTTTAAAAAAGAAATGACAATAAAATGATCCCGAACTACCCCCTCTTCTTCCCGTAAGAGTCTTTGTGTTTTGAGCTGTCGTCAGCGCCCTGGCAGCTGACCAGGGCTCTTGGAGGGGGTTATCTTCATTAGCTTGCCACTTGGCAGCTAATTGCTGGAGCAGGCGAAAACAAAAAGCTCGGTGTCCGTCCCTACATGCTCTGATTGCTCTGGGACAGGGGGAGGCAAAAGTCTGTGCGCCCCAAACAGAGAGCCTCACTTTGGCATGACTTGGCAGGCGAGGCTCCTCCCCTGTATGGATGTTTGTTTGGTTGTTTTTGGAGCTTTAGGTGAACAGGTCTAGGCCGGGGGAACTGAATTCAGCATGCAGTCTTTCCCTTTTCTTTTATCTCGTTTAAAAAAATTATAATATTTTGTGGTTGGGTTGCCTACAGGAGAAATACTAAATCCCTTAATTCAGGAGAAAATAGCATCTCAGAAAAGTGTTGTGGAATCTTTTCGAAATAGACAATTAATTTGCAATTGTGGGCTAAGACCATTTGTTCTAATTCTAATCAAATGAAAATAGAAATACAGAACCAAGTTGTTTTGAGAAAGCTCCACTGGTTACATATCTTCAGTCATGCTGCATGAGTTTTTACACATCTTAGTGGTGAAGAAAATAAAGCAGCTTTTTAATGAATCAATAAGACGGATTGTTTCCACTTATCAAGATATGGCTTCAATTCAGGGTAAAGGCGGTCGGCAATTGTAATTGCTTTAGTAAAACATGTTCTTGTTCTTCTCCCTCACATGAATGAATCTCAACAAGAAACAGATTGTATCACCCAGTGATTTTAGTGACATGTTTTCATTAAACCTTCTGCAACATCCCTCTCGTATCTCCCTCTGCACTGAACTCTATCCAATGGAAATGACTCCACTTATTGGACATTATTTTACCTTATCTTCTTCACTTTGATAGCCTTTGGCTGACAGGTGAAACAATCAAATTGTTATTTTATTTTAGATACTAGGGAGAGAAGCTGGAAGGATTTGATATGCGTCTAGACAAAAGGCAACAAGAGAAGGTCTTACTGTCCATAAACCGTCTGAGATAAGGCGAAGAAATAAATGCCACTGTGCGCCAAAGGGTTCAGCATTTCTTTCTCTTCTCTTTGATGCGCTCAGCTATCGCCAGAGCTTGTGGTTGTGTTCTGTCCGCCCCGAAGGCGTGATTTGTATGTGGAGTCAGGTGCTGTCACTCAGATGTGCGGTGACCCCATCAGATGTCTGTTAAAACAAAACACAGCTTCACAGTTCAGACTTGCAGTGTTAAAAATTCATATGGATATCTACAGTTACTGCTGAGTTAAACACTGCTTCATTCAGGTTCGCAATGACAGTCAATATTAGACTTTTGTGTAAAGTACACATCGAGTCCAAACAGGTGAAAACAGGACTAATTGTAATGGGTTTTGACAGGTAAGACAAAAATAGACCACCTATGAGACAGTATTTCTTAAAATGAGGAAAACCAATGCACATAAAGACACTTTGTTCTAAGCCATTCTTTTAAGAATAAATAAGAAATGCTGTACTTTTTCACCAATTCTAAAATGAATATTTCTGTGTGCCATCCAACTATCTACAAAATTATTTTCTCAAGCAAATGTTGTACTTGTATATCTCCAAAGCCATGATTAGCAGACATTATAATATCAGTGTGGTAGAAATGAACTCTTTCTGAAGATTTTTAAGGCACACTGCTGCAGCACATTTAGAGATACATTTGAATTGGAACCAATAACGATGAATTTGGATTTGCTAAATTCCAAAAGTCATGAAAAAGAGCAGAAACCAGACTTTGGACTGCAGAACAAGTGCGGGCTGTTCACTTATTTCTGAAGCATTAAAAGGAATCCCTGATAACTACATTCAAGTAAGTATAGGGACATCTAGCGGTCACGTTGCAACATTACACTTTTTGGGGGTATACAATACGTTATTGGTTAAATAATATACAAATTAAGCCCTATAGACAGTATATGTGGCATCCTGTCGATTGAAATCGAAAACAATTTCAAATGTCGAAAATAATTGTAACTGTCCTACAGTTTGTAAGAACCAAAAAAAATGACATGCAAAAAACTAAAGTCTTTGGCAAACGTAACGGTTTAATTGTTCACAAATAAAAAACATTTGCTGTAAGGGTTATGGTCATTCAAGAGGTCAATAACAGTTAACTGTCCAGAGTTCTTGTCACCAAAAATTGTTTTGGAAAGATACAATTTTAATGGAAAGATACAATTTTAATGTTGTATACTTGTAGGCCTATCAACTGAATGATCAATCAGACAGACAGCCTATACAACAGTAGGCCTACAACCAAATTGAACCGACTGTAGGCCTACATGACGTACACTATATACCTCACAGCTTTGTTTTCATTCTCGAAACATTAAATACGGCAAGCTAAACATTTGTACATATACATAGGAAAATTCCTTTAAATGTGAATCTACTCCAGTGTTCACATAAAATGGAAATTAGACATACACAATTGTTTGTAGCATTCAAATAAAATAATTATTCTCATTCAAAAAGTAAAGGTAAAAAAAGACGGTTTAAATAGGTTGCTGTGTTTGAGAGTATTATGCTTAGTTTACATGTCAGCCTTAGTGAGAGAAAAATAAAAGCAAATTATTTCTGAAGGTCTCAGGATGGAGATATAAGCAGGTTTGAGTTAGTATCCTATTCTATTCTGTTCTATTCTATTCATAACCACCATAGATATTGACACATGTCAAAAAGTGTTTGATCAATACGGGGTCCACAGATTCATAAATGTATACGCTTTGGCCCCCCTAATCTTGAACATTTTATCCATGTTCTATTCTATTCTGTTCTATTCTACTCTATTCTATTCCATTTGAGTTTGTAGGTAATGGCCTTACGAAAATTAACAATGGTTTTAATAGGCTACAAATTAAAAAAACATCATTTACTAGTTAAACCAAAACCAAAACTAGTTTAACCATGCATGGTTTTGCAATACTAACCATAGTTTAGCAGTGGTATTTGTAGTTAAACTGTGTTTTTCAAATGGTAATCAATCCACTACTTTAATAAAACCATGGTTAATTTGTATAAGGGATGATCCTATCATATAGCCTATGATCTCTCTCATAGATAAATAGAGTTAAAGAGTCAAACGCATGTGAAGAAGACTACTCTGACTGGCTACTTTAGAATGCTGTTTGCACACACCCAATAATAATATCAATGTGGGATGAAAATGAGTGTGTGTGTAAAAACCAAACCAGCATGTCCCCCCGCCTCTCAGCGACCGAACTCACCCACTCTCCCGTTACCCGGAAGTATGCAGAATTCCCAAAGATGGCGGAACAAGGTCCGATGGCGATAGCTATGCGGCTAAGAAATCAGCTGCAGAACGTCTACAAGCTCGACCCTTTAAGGAACGAGGTGAGTGAAAGGGGCGATAAAGGTTTCTGCGTCCGTCTTTTGCCGCGTGCTTCCCGCGCTTACTATAAACGCGCGTGAGAGGGGCGTTCTGTGTGGCGCGAAAGACGAGAGATGGAGCGCGAGACCGTGCTGCGTGTCTGCGCAGGCGTGAGTGTTGCGAAGAATCAATCCACTGTGTCTAGCCGCGGTTGTGTTTTTGTTCTCCGTGGCGGTGGTTTTCTTGTCAAAGCCGTCCCATTCGAATCCCCTGCTTTTTAGTTTTTACCCCATCTCCAAAATTCAATACACGAATAAAAAGGGTTGTTTGCGCTCCTAAACGAATATAGCGGTGTTTGACGTCGCGTGCTGAGCTGTGATATCCCACATGATTATTGATGCGCGTTGGCCCAGACGGGTGAACAAGTGCATCGTTATGATCTGCTTCAGCATGCATTTTCGGCAGCACGTGTCTGTGTTGAACATAAGTGACAGGAAATGTATTTGTAGGCTACTTTAGAATTCATGGGACGTAATGTGACACCTAAGGTGCATATGCGGGACATGCCGTTTTCTTCATACCTCAACATCGAGTCCTTGTTGAATTCAGTGGCTTGAAGTCCTGGCAATGATTGATATTAAACTAGTAGTACTCGCTTAGACTATACTCTGGTTTATAAAGCCGGTTCCAGGCTCGCTTTTTTCAAATGAGTCTGACACCTGACTCGCTGAAAAGTGAAAAGTGCGCGCTTCTGCCGCACCACATGAAGGAGCGCGCATGTAAATAGTTGTACACAACACATTGTACTTCATTTCAGAAAAGGAACGTGATGTAAAAATACATAAATCTATCCTCTTTTTTATTTATTTTTTAACATCGACTAGAAATGTTTAATTAAAAAAAAAAAAAAAAATTATCACGTTTGGCATCTCTACTTTGCCTTCGTTTTAAATAATAATTGATAATAATTAATAAGAGGTCATAAAAACGGCATAGCCTAATTTCGATTCAAGTAGTTTCAATAACATTTTCAGCTTGTCACAATGCAGGACACTTCTGACACTTGATTCAATGTCAGCTATCTATAGATATGTGTAAATAGAAAGTATAGAATAGATGTTTATTTCCCCTAGTCACCTAATTTATTGAAACTGACCATAGCCATGAAGTTGACAGATGGGAAGGCCATGGATAAAATGTGTTATTTATACGTTTTAACGTGAGACACTCTGTGATTTCAACATTGTACTGTCGAAATGCATTCAAGGACTGCCCTAAAACCACCTCAAATGGAGAGTTCACCCGAAAATGAATATCTTGTCATCATTTACTCACCCTCATGTTGTTCCAAACCTGTAATGAGTTTCTTCTGTTGAACACAAAAGAAGGTATTTTAAAGAATGCTGGTAACCAGACAGTTGACGGCACCCATTGACAACCATAGTATTTTTTTCCTACTATGGGAGTCAATGGGTGCCATCATTGTCTGGTAAGTAATGACAGAATATTCATTGGGTGAACTATCCCTTTTAATGTCAAAGGCTGGTGATTTTACGTAAATTCAGAATGTCACATAGGCTATCTCAAACTACCTGCATGACATGTTTTCGTCTGTTTGGTACCACAGGAAGAAGTTAAAATAAAGATAAAGGACCTAAATGAACACATCGTTTGCTACCTCTGCGCGGGATACTTTATCGACGCAACCACAATCACAGAATGTCTCCATACGTGTAAGTGTTGTGTACTTTATCTCTCTCCTAATAACACTCTCAAATGAACACACTCTAAACAATGCTGGGTTGTTTTAACCCAAATTTGGGTCAAATATGGACAAACCCAAATGTTGGATTAAAAATGTAATTTAAAATGTTAACCCAACTTCAACTTTCACTTTCAACTGTAAATTTTTTAATAACATTTTTAACCCAACATTTGGGTTTGTCCATATTTGACCCAAATTTAGGTTGAAACAACCCAGCATTTTTTAGAGTGCACGGACTTAAAGCAGCCAACTTCACAATTATTATATGTGCTGATGAAATCGACAAGCTACTTTGTTATACTGAATACTTACTCTCTTCACAGTCTGTAAGAGTTGCATTGTGAAGTATCTCCAGACCAGCAAATATTGTCCAATGTGTAACATCAAAATCCACGAAACGCAGCCCCTGCTGAATCTAAAGCTGGACAGAGTCATGCAAGACATTGTCTACAAACTAGTCCCGGGTCTCCAAGAGAGTAAGTACAGTGCACAGCTGAACTTGAGTGTCATTTATTGTGACTCCTGGTCAGTCGTGGTTAAATGTCCATCTGATCTTCTCAGGCGAAGACAAGCGAATTAAAGAATTCTATCAGTCACGGGGTCTTGAACGCATCATACAGCCATCTGGAGAAGGTATGGGATTACATGTAGATAGAGACTGCTGTTAATGTGTTTTTATTAAGATTGTTTTAAAGTGTGTTTGTGTTTTCCTTGTAGATTCAGTTCCAGATAACACAGGATTACCGTACACAAGCTTTGACCACTCCAAAGCTCACTTTTACAGATACGATGAGCAGGTCTCTCTATGTCTGGAAAGGCAAAGGTAAGACGGCAGTAAAGCTTATTATGTTTTTTTTTTACAGTACTGTTCAAAAGTTTCGGGCCCATAAGATTTTAAGGAAATATATACTTTTTTTCTGAATGGATGCATTAAATGGATTTAAATTGACAGTAAAGACATTTATAATGTTACAAAATTCAATCAAACAGATGCTGTTCTTTTGAACTGTCTATTCATCAAAGAATCCTGAAAGAAATGTATAACCGTTGCCACAAAAAATACTAAGCAGCAGAACTGTTTTCAACATTGATGATAACTAGTGCAGTGCCCGTGCAAAATCTGTTTTTGTGTGTTTTTAGTAATTATTTGTATTATTTTTATTTGTGCATGACTTAATGTTTAGCTGACAGAGTGTTTATGTCGGAATGTTTATTTTTAAACCACAACCTTCTAAACATCGTCTAAACATCTTCAGTGTGTGCTTCTTTTACCAATATTTTTACCAATATCTTTTGCATTTCTTATTCAAACAACGTCAAACTTGGCACTGCACTTACTCATGCCCGTAGCAAAACACTTGTCAAGTTTGAAATCCATCGGACTAACGGTTCGAGAGATATCTGAATAGCAGACACACACAGACAGACAGACAGACAGACGTTCCTGTAATTTATAGATAGATAATGAAAAATGTTTCTTGAGCAGTAAATCAGCATATTAGAATGATTTCTGAAGGATCGTGTGCCACTGAAGACTGGAGGAATAATGCTGAAAATTCATCTTTTAAACATATTCAGTAAACGGCTATTTTAAATTTGAAAAATATTTCACAACATTTCAGATTTTACTGTATGTTTGATCAAATTATTTCAGCCTTAGTGAGCATAGACTTCTTGCAAAAACATTAAAGGGGTCATATAATGCCATTTTTGTACAAGCTAGTATGATTCTTTAGGGTCTAAATTAAAAGTTTGTAATATACTTTAATTAAAAATTCTCATTAGTATTGTAAGAAAACACTTATTTTACCTGGTCAAAAACAGCTCTGTTTTCAGCACGCCGTTTCAGTGCATATGACTTTAAATGATAATGAGCTTTGCTCACCCCGCCTCTCTGTTCTGTGCGTACACCATTTGTAACACAATAACACAATAACCATAACGCATTGTTCATTATAAACGTGGGATTATTAATTATATTGAGAACATCATACATAGAAAACATGCGTAATGTACCCTGAGTGTAAACCTTAGACGCATTCATTGTGAAGCGTGCAGCTAGCGATTTGCAAAGATTAATATAAATATTAATTAGTGCTGGGCAACGATTAAAAAATTTAATCGCGATTAATCGCATGATTTTCTTGCGATTAATCGCGATTAATCGCATTGTTACGCGCAAAATTGAATAATGAATTCTAAAGTAGTGTATTGCGCACTTTTGATTTAAATGTACTGCTACAAAAGTGCAACAACATGTGGTTTGCAAAAACTTTAAACAAATAAGGTGCTTTTATACCAGCAGTATTCCCTTTACACAGTATCAATAAAATATTTCTTGTAAATCTCAACTTAAACATTAATGTAATCAAATCAAATATTTAAACAAAGCTATTTGCCACTGCCAGGGCATTACCTTTTATCTAGCTTGTTAAAACGAGTCCAGTTTTCTTGTTTTTTTTCTGAACAGGTATCTTGTATCAGGGAGCAGCAGAAACAGTCTATGTAGTCAAAGGGTCATGATCACTACTACAGATATAAGTCGACCAACGTTACTTCTCTGATAGCAGCTTAGGTTTGGTCATGGCATGCCATGGTTTCTCGCGCAGTAGCTGTGTAGCGCGCGTACCCTGACGTGCATCTCTCCAAAAATGTAACGTCAATTCTACGCGTACCGCAAGCGCTGTGATTGCTAGAACCGCTCCCCGGGTTTCACACTCTCCCTCATGTGCAATTGCGCGTCGACGCGGACAACGACGCAGATATATAAATGAAAACCAACGCGTTGTCTATAGCGTAGAGGCTCCGGCTTAGGTCCGACGCAGAAGTATAAATCAGCCTAGAGTGAGGTGAAGTGGTCGAGCACAGGTGCAGCGACAAGCGGGTGCGTTCCTGTGAAACTGTTGCGGTCATGCTCGCCTCACGCACGCGCCCGCGCGTTGCCGAAGTTGAATTGTCTAACTTTTTTGTACACGACGCGCAGCACAAATCATTGGAAGAGAGACTGATCCTCGGCTCGCTGTTTGTGAGTTTCCAGAATCTAAATAGTTATCAGGACATCAACAGGAGGGAATTCACATGGCAGAGCATCCCCGCTAAACTAAACGCAGGCCTATCAGGTAAAGTTATGTATAATTTTAATTTAAGTTAAAAAGGCTACAGCTGCGTAGCGCACAGAAGCCGGTGCCATGGTTACTATCCATAGAGCGCCTGTCATTCACTCGCGGAGCGCTGTCTCCCTTTCTGTTCACCTGAGAGA